GGGTGCTGAGCAGATGGGTGGCTCAACAGGTGGCACCCATGAAGAAGAGACTTGGTGGTTGCTCAGTGGCTCTGCTCTCTTTCTATACCGATTTTTCGTTATGAAAAAAAAAAAAAAACCCAAACCCTAGATTAATACAGAAACAATAGAAGCGATCCTACTAAAGACAGGAAGGTGACAAAGAGGCCCATTATTACCACTGCTATTTAGTTTCATAATAGATGTACCAGCAAAAGCAGTTTTAAAGTTATGACGGTTGGAAAGGAGGAGGTAGAATTAACACTGTTGGCAGATGATTGAACTGTGCTCTGGGATTCAACTGAGAACTTGACACAAACAGTAAGATTCAGTACAGTAGTGGGGAGTGAAAAATATATGGAAATAAATAATGTCTATGTAAAATAGATATGTATATTCTAATATACATGCAAACATATATTTGCTAAACAAGGAGGACCTGCAAAAAACTGTATTTCCAAAATAGATTATCTGCTCTGTCTCTGGAGATTGAATGTATAACCCACCTGACTCAACTACGTTTCCGTTATGAGTTTGACTTTTAAGAATCCTAAGAGGGCATACTAATAATACACAGAAAGGCATGGTGGAAAATATATTTTAATGGTTCGTCTTAGTCTTCACTTGAAATGTCTTATAACACAGACTGTTAACACCAAAAAAGTAGTCACCCAGGAAGAGTTTATAATGAAATTTAGACTAAATTGAAGAGTTTTCAGTTAGATTATAGCAATGCAATGTATTGATTCTTCATTTTCGTAGCATAGATTTTTTTTTAACATTTGTCAATTGTTTAAAATATTAAAATTTGCTTTAAAGCAATCCTTTACTTTGGATCATAAGCCTCTATGCTTATTTTTTGCAGAGGCAGTTGTTTTGAGAGGTGGTTAACATTTCTCTGCTTTAAGCTCTTTGCTCTTTGAGCAAAAGTTGTGGTGCATTTCTGTAGTAGAGCCGTGTAGATGGTTAGAAGTCAGGAATCATTCATTTGAAGAGCTATTTACACAGTATTTGGCTATAAGGCCGGGGATGAGGGTGTGTATATGTTAATGTTTTGGCAACTCCCTAGATAATTCCTTGGTTTAGTGATGTCAGTTGTATTTGTGATTACATATTATTTATATTTTAAGACACGAGTTCTTTTTTTTTTCTTTTTTTTATTTTTTAGGAAGATTAGCCCTGAGCTAACTACTGCCCATCCTCCTCTTTTTGCTGAGGAAGACTGGCCCTGAGCTAACATCCATGCCCATCTTCCTCTACTTTATACGTGGGGGACCTACCACAGCATGGCTTATTGCCAAGTGGTGCCATGTCCGCACCTGGGATCCAAACTGGCGAACCCCGGGCCGCCGAGAAGCAAAATGTGGGAACTTAACTGCTGTGCCACCGGGCTGGCCCCGACACGAGTTCTTAATTGTTCCTTCATGCCCAGCTCAATAAGATAGAAAGAAATGTGGCTTTCCACATCCTTTGGTTTCTAAATTTATCAACCAAACTTAGAAGTAGGAAATTAGAAGGGAGTTTGTTTCCTCCTTCAGGTACGAATGGGGAAAGAGAACCATATTAGTTTCACGCTAAGCATCCAAGAATCTGTATCTGCATTCTCTCACCTTTATCTTCTAGTGTAATTTAAACTCAGCTCCTAAAAACCCTGATTCAAGGAAAATACTATCAGTGCCTGTCTCTGAGCTCTGAATTTTCCAGTCGCTGGGCTTGGAATGTGGAGGAGATGAAAGAAAACAGACTTGAGAATATGCAAACATGAACTCTTCCCCAGAAGAACGTCACCCAGAACTCCCCCAGCTCCTAAATTTCATTTTAAAATATACTCAATGCTTTGAGTTTTGGGTCGTCTTAAGAGAGCGCAGATATTAGTAGCTATTATTAACATGCAGGTAGAAAAGAGACTAAAAAGCCTACTTGGAAGAAACCTCTGGTCCTTTATCTCACTGGGATGATTTTATGTTCAATGTGCTTCTTAGAATAGTAGGGTACAAATTAGCGATTAAAAGTATGTGTATGAGACTAGCCCTAGATGTTCTTAAACACGAAATAATTTAAGTTATGACTGTCTACGGAAGACTGTAGATGGTTCTTGAAATAGTAAGTGGTCTATCTTATATTAATGTTTCCTTCTTTATATGCCTCAAAGTTTATTCTATCAAAATTTATATTTAGCCTGTTGATTTTCAGTCCATTGTTAATGTCTTTTACTCTTCACCAACACACACACACACATTTTTTTTTCCTTCTCTGTTTGAAGAAACTTTGGGAGGAATCAGAAACCAGTAGCATCTTGGGGTTAGGGGTTGCATGTGGTGATAGAAATTGGGTACATGGGGGTGGCCTATTGCAGGGCTTGGAGGGACTGTTCACCATAATCTTTTAATATTACCAAAAAATTATACCATGTGAATATATTACTAATATAAAATATTAAAATAAAGGGGTCCATGATTATTGTTTTAAGTAATATGTGCTCATTGTGGAGCAAGTTGAAAATATAGGAAAGCACGAGGAAGAAAAATTATCGCCAATAATCTCACCCACCTAGAGATAACATCTCTGTTACTGTTTTGTTATAGATTGTCTCTGTCCAAAAGAAAATGCATTTTTTTTTTCCTGAGGAAGATTTGCCCTGAGCTAACATCTGCCAATCTTCCTCTTTTTATGTGTGGGTCACCACCACAGCATGACCACTGACAGACGAGTGGTGTAGGTCCACACCTGGGAACTGAACCTGGGCCATGAAGTAGAGTGTGCTGAACTTAACCACTAGGGCACCAGGGCTAGCTCAGATAATGCATGTTTATATATTCAAATTTTTACATTTGGACAGAACAATTCTATTTTGTAACCTGCCTTTTAAAATTTAACAATATATTGTAAACACTCTTCCAGATCCTTAAGTATTTGCTACCCTTTTTTTAAAGTTGCTGTGGTGTTCTATCATATTTAATTAATTAATATTTATTTAAAATATTTAATAAATAATTAAATACATTAAGTATTTTGCCCAGTTCACTATTGTTAGATACATAGATTGTTTTAATTTTCTTTGATGTAACTCCTTGTAAGTAAATCTGCATACATCCATAATGATTTCTAGTTGTGGAATTGCTGAGTCAAAGACACAGTTATTTTTAAGGCATGATCAGATTGCCTCCTGGAAGAGTTGTGCTCATTTGCACTCACTGTGGTGTATCAAGAATTTCCTTAACCTAGCTACATGAGGCTATCCAGGGGACCAGCCATACATTTGTTAATTTATTGGAGTATAGTAGATAAAACCTGAAGATAGGACAACTCCCAGTGGGGAGTGAAAACTGATTTTATCTTATACCCAGTATATGATTGGCATCAGGCTGGAGTGGGTATTTAGCACAATTAAGTTTGGGATTTTTGGATATTTGGTTGCTGGGCTTGGCCTGATGAGTGGACTTTTTGCTGTCCACGTTGAAATCTTCTCTGCTAATAGATTGAATTGTGTTCTGCTCACTGGCTGGCCTAGCATTCTCTTAATGGAGGGATGTGTAAAATGGAACAGTTGCTAGACTGAAATATGCTTAAAAGTTGATGTCCAACTGAATTTATTGAAAGATGAGAGATGACTAAGTAGCCTACACACTTGGAATCCAGAGAAATACTGCATAGTATTTAATTGCCTTTTGAAATGTTTACTGAGCATCCTATTTCAACAAGCACAAGTACTATGCTGGCACATTGTGCTATGCTGGCACACTGCTAGTTCTGTGAATTTCTCTTTTGGATCTTGGGAGAGAGTGGAGAGAAGAGGCTCAGCAAATAATTGGCAAGAAAAGCAAACAGTTACAAGTCTGTTAACAATGCAGCCTTGTTTACCCACTCTTTGCCTATCTGGATTTCTGAAACTGGATTCCTTAGCTCTGTTAACTGGCACGAGGGCACTCCTTTCGGTTAGGGTGCTTGGAATTGTAAGCATGCTGGAGAGAGCATAGTCAGTATATCTTAGCTGGGTGAGTGCATCCTGTCACTGTTAGGACTGGGTCCTGTAGGGGGATTAATAATGAGAAGTGAGCTGGGAATTGTTTATCAGTGGAAGCTCTGGAATTGCTTCTTAGGTCTGTTTGTGTTATGGGCATTTCAGATTGGAGAGGTTACAGAAATGAAAAGCCTGTTTACTCTTGAAGCGTGAAGTCTGCTAGTCACAATTTTAACATTTTTTGTTTGTAAAGCAAAGGAGCAAAGACTGCTCCGTGTAATAGATAGGGCCTTGGTTATGAGAGAGATCTAATGTTATTGTGCAGGCTCTTTCAAAGAGTACTACTTCGGAGTAGTATCAATTTTGTAAAATTTAAGTGACATTATTTCACTTGTATTTTGGTTATGATCTGTTAATAAATCTTACGTTTTTATTACAAGAATAAGCCAGGCACTGGAATATGAGGTTACTTTTCTTCTAATTTTAACAGTTTTGAAAGAGTCATTTTATGGGGAACAGTGAGGAAAACTAAGGGCAAAGTCTAGAATATCATCTTTGTTACTGAGGGAACAGAGGAAATGTTTTAAAAAGTCGTGTATCTGGTTTTAGGTCTTTTTTGCTCATAAGCAAAGTGTCATAAGCTTGCTGTGGATATTGGGCAGGTAACCTCCCCCCTCTTGTTTTCACTCTCACTTTTGTTTTTCTCTTGTGAAATATTTCTTTGTGGTTATCAACAAAAGCAGGATGAGAATTAGCTTTTAGTAATTAAAATGTGAAGTTCTGGGGCCGGCCCAGTTGTGCAGCGGTTAAGTTCACTCATTCCACTTTGGCAGCCTCGGGTTTGCTGGTTCAGATCCTGGGTGAGAACCTACACACTGCTTATCAAGCCATGCTGTGGCAGGCATCCCACATATAAAAAAGAGGCGGATTGGCGGCGGATGTTACCTCAGGGCTAATCTTCCTCCAAAAAAAAAAGTTAAGTTCTATCACCTGCTTAACATCTGAATTTTTTTGTTTTCAGCATTGGTTGGATGGTACAAAAAGCATCAAAAAGCAAGTAAAAAGTAAGTGGTGAAAAAAATGTAAATTAAATTATTATGTGTAATTAGATATTAGAAACTCTGATTCTTAATAGTAAAAACATAAATCATTTTTCAGATGAATTTATTAGCATCTCTACTTTACGAAAATAATTTCAGTCTGATATATAAACCCACCCCCTAAGTTATGTAGGATTAATGGAAATCTAGATTCAGATGCCTTGCAGTTTGTTTCCAGGAGAAAGCCTTGCAGCTTGTGAGTGAGATTGAGTTCTTGTGAGATGCTTAACTTTTATTTATTAATTACCTATATTAGAATCTTCCTATTAGGCATCTGCTAGTTTAGAAAATATTTTGAGACTTTAAGGTTGTAACTGTTTAAAATTAAGAGTAATGAAATGAAGCAATTCACATAAAATGTCAGTATTATTCCTGGCAGTGGTCAGGGGAAAATACCCATGTCCAATCCATAATCTAGTCTGTCATCTGTAGAATCAGAGATTTCAGGGTACGTCAGCTCTTGCCTTTACAAAATAATGGGACCACTGAGAGTATAGGGTTTAGTGAAGTAGATGAAGTGAATTGAACAGTATGTGGGAGGGTTTGCCACGTCATATGCATTCCTGATGCTTTCAAGAAACACAGCCGGGCGGGTTTTTAGGGTTGTTACATAGCATGGTTGAGACTTTTATGTGGTGCATTTGGCCCTGAACTGTTGGAATTAATCTAGCACTGTCTGTTCTTGGGAGGACAGAAGATTGCAATAGTACTATATGATGGGACATTTAAAATGTCCACTGATTGATCTTTTCATCTTAGGTTTAATTAAGCCTATGAGGTAACCTGAAATATTGCCACAGTAACCTGTTATTTTCTATCTCCACTTCAGTAGATTTTGACAGATTTACTGGCTGAAAATCCCTTACTATTTAGTTACATAAAAAATTAAAGTTTGTTTTTTTTTAATGGCAGTTGGCTCACCCTATTGTCTGCATCTTCGAGTTAAATTTTATTCCTCAGAACCAAATAATCTTCGTGAAGAACTAACCCGGTAAGTCCACCACCTAGAGTTGTACATGGGTGAAGTTTTGATCAGGCTAGCTTAGGATGTTGGAAGATTGTCTTTTTAGTTCTTTCCAGTTTATAGACAGCTGGTGAAATGGATTCCTTGCCCCGGTAACAAGACCTTAGACAATAATTTCGTTTTGGGGCAGTGTTTTTTTTTTTTGTTTTGTTTTTTAAGATTTTATTTTTCCTTTTTCTCCCCTAAGCTCCCTGGTACATAGTTATGTATTTTTAGTTGCTGGTCCTTCTAGTTGTGGCATGTGGGACGCCGCCTCAGCATGGCTTGATGAGCGGTGCCATGTCCGTGCCCAAGATCCTAACCAGCGAAACCCTGGCCCGCCGAAGCGGAGCACATGAAGTTAACCACTCGGTCACGGGGCCAGCCCCAGGGGGCACTGTTTTTTATGTGTAGGATTCTTTTCTTTTATCAGTTTTCAAAATGAAGAGTTGATTCCCTAGCATCCTCCAGAGGTAACTAGTGAGTTCTTTTTTTTAAGTGTCATTATCAACTCATGGATATTAAACAGAACTGAAGTGTTTCAATACTTTTCCATATTATGTTTATTCATGTTCAAAATGATCTATCTTTGGCTGCTGGGAATTTATTCAAGTTGGCTCCTGACTTTCTTTACCTATTCGGGTGCCATTGATTAATGAAACATGTTAGATCCTGATTTGGTTTGAATAGTTTTGGGTAAACTTTAAGTAGATCATACACACTTATTTTTATTTTGTCCTGCCTCCTTGGTATTTATTCATTGACTCTATATTGTAAATCCATGACTCTTGCACACATACTATTTATTAAGTAAAAAATTGAGTTGCTAAGTCCCTTTAGAAGGGTTTTGACTTGAACACTCTGCCAATGAGATTATAGCTGTTATCCATCGTTATGTACGTGCCTGTGTCCCTTCACATATGAGGTGGCTGTGTTGTCAAATTAAGTTAGATCACAGAGCTCATTCTCCATGATTTGCTTTAAACCTTTGGTGCCCGTACTATACTCTGTGTTCTGCTGTTATCTTGTGGACATGCTACCATCCTTCTGATGCTTATTGCCTCTTTATGTTCTTTTCTTCTTTATAGACTATTGTGGGTAAAATTCTGTAATTAAGAATGTTTTGGGGCTGGCCTGGTGGAGTAGTTGTTAAGTTTTTGTGCTCCGCTTTGGTGGCCTGGGGTTCGTGGGTGCAGATCTCGGGCACGGACCTACACACTGCTCATCAACCCATGCTGTGGCAGCATCCCACATACAAAAAATGGAGAAAGATTGGCACAGATGTTAGCTCAGGGCCAATCTTTCTCACTAAAAAAAAAGAAAAAAAGTTTCTTCTTTATTCAGAAGGAATTATTTCTGATAGTAAATTTATTCTATTAAATTTGTGACTTTTATTTTTCTTAGGTATTTATTTGTTCTTCAGTTAAAGCAAGATATTCTCAGTGGAAAGTGAGTACTAGTTATTTAAGGTAAACCACGTTTTCTTGAGTAGTTGAAAATGATTTTGAAAAATAAGTTTATAGTTAATTATGAAAAAGAAATGGTCAACATAAAATATGTATTATTTCCATTTATCTTAAAATTAAGGTTGTGAAATTGACTTGTCTAACAAATTTGTGCTTTGTTCTCAGATTAGAGTGTCCTTTTGATACAGCAGTTCAGTTGGCAGCTTATAATCTGCAAGGTAAGCAATTCTTATGTTGACTGTCAAGAGTAAAGTGTACTTTTTTATTGTGTGCTTTTAGTTAAAGAATTTAAAAAGATTCAAAGTAATATACAAGAAAAGAATCACTACTGTTTTTGTGTAAATTTGTATCAGTATCTGACTCTGACTTTTACTTTCACTTGTTTTAGAACATTGCCTTCTTTTTCTTCCCTGTCACTTTATTTGCCCCCTTTCCACTTCTAGTTTTGTTTATTTTCAAGCAAAAATTGCAGTCTACTTCATAATAAATGTTATATTTGGGCCCTCAGCAAATTTTTTTTCTTAAAAAGAACACAGTGATATATGAGTAAATTGTTGTAATAGCCACATGGTTTGCTTTCTTTAGTGGTAGTCTTATAAATGAATCCGTGAGAGAAATACTTAGAGTGTTTTTAAAAATTCCTGGTGATTATGTTATGAATAAAAAGAGTGTTTTCCAATAAATAGGATTAATGAAAAACTTATTCTTTTATACCTCCTTGTTACACTGATCAGATACTCTTAAACTCAGATATTTTCTTCTGAAAAATTGACATTTTAGTAAGAATATAATTTCTTTCCTTCTTCACAAAATAGAAAGAAAGATTCTCTTGGAGTTTCTCTATATACTAGAATAAAAATAAAAATATTGAATGATTAATCAAGATATTAATTTATACCTTTTCTGGTGATTCCATATTTATCCCCAATTCCTCTAAGATCCGTAGTATGTATTTGCCATTGTCTAGATATTAATAAGACTAAATTTTTACATTTTATGGTAAACCTAATATTTTTGCTGCTTTTGTGCTTCTGCTATTTAAGAAAGCATACTTTCCTGTTGATAGAGGGATTGGTGATTGGAGGAAATTTCTGTCCTCCAAAAATTTGCCACTAGTGTAAATTATCTACCTGCCTCCATCTACTGTTCTAGCCTGTCTACAAATTAAAACTTGTTTTCTCATGTGCAGAAAATATGTATTCCAAGCTAGATACAAGCTTGGAAATGTTGTGCCTCTAGCGTTGTAATAATCAGAAGTATATAATTGCATGCATATTTTCTTGAAAGTAGACTTTTACATTTTATTCCTGTATGAGGTGGTTAATTCTAAAACTCAGATATACTGAAAAGCTGTCATTTTCAGTATCTGTCTTACACCATTTATTGCCTCATATATTCTGTCTCTCTGTTAGTTTGATGACAGCTAAAGTATATGCTTCTTGGAAATATGATTTTTATGCATTTTTGTGTATATAACAAAACACTATTCAAAGAAGTGCTTACTTAATAATTGTTGGTTTGATTCATGCTTGTGGCTCTTTTCTGTTATCTCTTAACCTTACATGTCATATTATTTTCCTAAATAAAAGCTCTTCCCTACTTTCTCTTTCACCCACGGCACCATTATTTTTATGATTCCTCCAAACTTCATGTTTTATCTAATGAATCACTTTGTCCCATGTCTAATAGTTTACCAGATCCTCCTAATTCTTAAGGTCTTTAAGAATAAAGTTGCTGAAGTATTACTGTCATCTTTATAAAATGAGCTCCTTGTTTCTCATTTATGATTTTATATTTTATCAGAATAATTTTTATTACCTTTTTCTCACACTCTCGTTCAATTTTTCTTTACTTATTTTTGTTGTTGTTGATGAGGAAGATTGTCACTGAGCTAACATCTATGGCAGTCTTCCTGTATTTTGTATGTGAGATGCCACCACAGTGTGGCTTGATGAGCAATGTGTAGGTCTGCACTGGGATCCAAACTTGCAAACCCCGGGCTGCTGAAGCGGAGTGCACAGACTTAACCACTATGCCGCTGGCCCAGCCCCTTCTTTACTGTTTTAGTATATATCCTGAGCAACGTTACATAGCAGATTTGCTGTGGTGCTTCTTCAAGATATTGTGGTTCAGACAAGAGAGCAATTTCTTCACAATAAAGTGGGCATGATAATAAATATTTTCCAAGCTTGTTGTGAAGTTAAATGACAGTATATCTGTAATATGTCCATTGTGTAGAGTAGGTGCTCAATAAATAATGTTGTTACCATTTTTATTATTATCGCAAGATAGTTCTCATGTACTTTTTCTCTGTGCAGCTGGATTTTTTTAATCAAAATGGAAATATTTTAATTTTTTATTAGTAAAATATTCTTTTAAAGGAAAAATTTCTTAAGTATAGAAAATTAGAATTGTTGTTTTCTCTTCTTCCCTAAACGCACAGTTCAGAGGTAGCCACAGATGAGTACGTGTTTGCGCATTGTCCAGTTCTTTTCCTCCTGCTTTCCTTCCTCAAGTATTCTTTATTAATTTTTTTTTCAGTTATCTTTTTAGGATTGATAATTTAAAATTCCAGGAGGGACAGAGATGATATCTTACAGTGGTATATGATGTCATGTTCTGTGCATTTTTAGATTCTTGATAATTGCCAGCTAATTGTTTTTTAAAGATTGCTAAATAAATTCTTCATTATAAGATCAAAAGATATTTCTCTGTGGAAGTCTGGAAAGAGGTTTTCAGAAGCTAAGCATTATAAGCTATGAATAAATTAAGAGAAAGACATTTAATTGAAAGCGCACCACTAATCACAAATGTGTGATTTGTGTACAAACAAATGAGTCATAAGACTAAGCTAGATTTATTTTTGGGAAAGGTCTGGGTGTTCTGAATTCCTGGTAGTTTAAAAAAGAATCTTTTGTAATCTGCTTAGCAATTTTTATTAGTAAAATGAGTTTTGAAGAAAGATTCAGCAGGGAATAAGCTCATTAACAAAATATAATGTTGTGGAACTTCTGTTTGTAGCTGAGCTTGGTGACTGTGATCTTGCTGAGCACGGCCCTGACCTTGTGTCTGAGTTCAGGTTCGTGCCCGTTCAGACTGAAGAGATGGAGCTGGCTGTGTTTGAGAAATGGAAGGAATGCAGGTACTTGATATCTGATCACACTTCCTTTAACATAATGACAGTAATGACTTCATATTTGGTTTTTTCTATTTCTATACTTGGTATAGAATTCATTTGACATTTATTATTTTAAAAATTACTGTTTTTTAAATTTCAGAAGTCAGACACCAGCACAAGCTGAAACCAATTATCTGAATAAAGCCAAATGGCTAGAAATGTATGGGGTTGATATGCATGTGGTCAAGGTGAGCACTGTGTTGTGATGCTTTTTAAAAAATTTATTCCTTCAAGATTCAAGGTGACTGGAATCTTTCAGTCTGAGGGAGGATATGGAGTCTGCATAGTTTAGCATGGGATATTTTGGATGTGTTATAGACATTGAGATTAAGTACTGAATGATGAGAATCTCATATCGTTTCATTATAAGAAAGAAGAGGAACAATCAGAATCTCCAGAAAGCTAGGTCTGTTCTTTTAAGCTGTTCTTCTCTTTTTTGTTGTTTTTCAAACCACTTGTTCTTTCATTTCATGTTTATATCATCTTATATCACTTAACCTGAGTAGGCTCTGTAAAAATAAAAATAATTTAGGAAACTAAGTTGAAAACTTATAGCTCGAGAGGACTTTGATAATCTGTAAGTATAGCTTGTGTAGTGATTTAAGTTATTTCTAGTTTAAATAGCTAAGTTTTCCCAGAAAGGCAGGCTTTTTCAGAATTTGTGATTTAAGTGGTTAGTAGAATATGGAAAGAGCCTGGAAAGAGCATTCTTTGTAGTGGAACTGTACATACCTATTTTCACTGGAGACACATCTTCAGACTCTAGTGTTGCACTGAACTAAATGTATGTGTAAATCTTCCTGAGAATGTTATTTTGGGGTACTCTAATTGTTGAAAATACCTTGCATATGAGTCTCTATATAATTAATATCATTCAATCTGAAAATATAATTAAACAGTTGTGTGAAAATGTGAAACCTGTTTTATGCAAATAAAGCTAACACATTTTGCTGTCCTTTAAATTAGGCTAGAGATGGGAATGACTATAGCTTGGGACTAACCCCAACAGGAGTCCTTGTTTTTGAAGGAGAGACCAAAATTGGCTTATTTTTTTGGTAAGCAGAGTTAATGTCAAAGATACTTGTTGTTTTGTTTTTTTAATGAGTAAAAACATTTGTATCAAGTTATTACGTGACATTGAGTTTGGAAATCAAATAGTTCTGAAAAGCTTGTAAATGAAAAGCAACTGTTTCCTTTCAGACTCCTATCTTTAGTCCCCCCCACCAAGAGACAATTTTTCAAAACTTTTCTATCCATATTTTCCGTTAGTCTCAAGGAAGATCAGAATAGGTCTTAATAGAAATATTTCTATAGTTATTAAATGTTCACATGGGCACTCTGTCCTGTCATGTAGTTGTGTCACTATTTTTAGTATTTCTTGTTCCACAATCTCAGTTGCTCTCTACTCTATATTGTGTAAGAGGAAGATATTAACACTTTTACCCCCTGTTTTAACCCCCCCCTTTTAAAGCTGTGCTTCTCTTTCTGTGTCTCAACTTCTATCATCCATACTTTTAAATTAAATTTGCATTTTACTTTTACATCAAGGATGGATTTTTCTTGGACTTCATAACTATAATTAAGTTCTTCATGTTTTATCTGGTTGGTTCTAAAATCTGAAAATCCGGAAAGAGTGTTTACAGTATGATGTCTGTGTCGGAACAGGCGCAGAACTTAGTGTACTGGTGTCATATACGTGAGCCGAAGACGGCCGCTGTGTCTCGGCCCCTATGTTGTTTACGTCCTCACAGCACATTAGGACTTTGAACTCAAAGCCCGCCAGTGCCAAACTCAAATGCTTACACATCCACTTACTTTAAATATAGCCCGTGAGTATATTTTAAGCCATTTAGAGCCTGCCTGTTTTGCATATCCCACTACAAATTGCACCCCATGTCTGTTAGCCATAGATGACGCAAGTCCTGTAGCAATAAAAGACCCCAAACCACTAATGCCCTTCAGAGCTCTCTAACCCAGACTCCCCCCTTGCTGCTGAATGCCATCCACCAGACATAGAAGCCTCCTCTCTCCTGGGCGTTCCTGTGCCCTCTTCTTTGTGGTGGCCCTATGCTGCCACCTCTGGAAGGTCTCCTGTGAAGGACTTCCCCTCTCATGCAACCCTGCCTAAACACCTCTGAATAAAGCTCATTGTGCAATACTGCTGTCTCATGGTCCTGTCTTTCTCTTGATCAGCCCTGAAATCCTTGAACTCACAAACAGGCTTGCATTTCCTCTCTGTATAGCTTTTTGTTTTTTCTCAAGTTCTTTACTCACCCTCAGTCTCATGCACCCCACACATCCCTTTACATCCCTTTTTAGTTACCTGCTTTTGTCTTCTCCGTAAGCTCTTTCGAATTCTTGGGGGTTGCATTCAATGATTCTTCTTTTCCACTTGGAACTGTTTGCTCTCCAGGCTGCTCTACAGCTTTTGTCTTGGGACTTCCTTTTCCTGTTTTCTCAGCTAAGATCCTTTGTTGTCTTCCTATATTTTCCTCTTTCTTTGCTTTTGTTTTTACTGATGTATATCCTCAAGTAACTGCCTATGAAGAGGATGTAAGAGGTAAATTATTTGAATCCTTGGGTGCCTTAACACAGTTTATTCTTCTGCTTTGCTTTCTTGATAATTAGGCTGAGAATGGGATTTTAGGTTGAAAATGATTTCTCCTCAAAAAGTTGATTTTATTTGATTTATTTTTGCATTGAGGTGTCCCTGCTAGGGACTCTTGGAGAGGCTTGAGTGGAACACCTTTATAATTCTCCCTCGATGGGTGAGGGAGCTGGAGTGTTTATTTACCCAGTCCTTGAGTGTTGATTCTCTGACTGTTCCAGCTTGCCCTGTGGGCAGTTGGAACAGGCTTCATGGCCGGAGAATGCTGAGGCGGGGAGATAAAGAAAGCATTTGTATACCACCTCATACAATTGTTGTGAGACTCAGTTGAATTAATACATGTAAAACATTTAGAAGAGTACCTGACACTTAGTGCGCATTATGTAAGTATTTGTTACACTTAAATAAGTGCTAGATCTTTGCTCCTCCTCCACCTAGTACACTTAGTTACTTATTGGTTTAGTACAGCTCTTGGAAACAAGGTATGTTTTACAATTATGTTTAAAAATTAGTGAGAGTTGCATTGTTTTGACATTCACAGTTTATAGAAGTACAGAGTTATAATGTGGTGTAGATTGTTTAGAATTTTAGTAGAGGTAGGAGATAGACTTGGAAAATGGGCCATAAAGTGAGATTTTTAAAGAAAAAAATTTTTTAGCTAAAGATGTATTTCTTCAAACCAAGATTGCTATAGAGAATAGAGTTGAAGGCCCTGATCGCTCATTTGTGTGTCTTTATGCCTTTTAGAAGGCTTGGTAGTCTTTCCTGTATCCACTTCCTGTGCTGCTGCTTTAATGCTGGGCCTGGAGAATCTCTTACACCATAGTTGGGGGCCTGTGAAATATATATACGAATTGCTTCATTTTCTTTTTTCCTTAACATTTTTAATGCCTGATATATTTGCAGCATCAATTTTGCTAGAAGTATTGCATTTGAAATATGTTTTTTTCTGTCATCTTAACTATTTTTTAGATTGGAGGCTTTTTTGATGGGCAGTGCAGTTTATGTTTACCCTCTTAATCAATTTGCAATGCAGAAGTTCGGTGATTAATATGCTTAATGTAACAATAAAAATTTTTTTTTTTAATTTAGAGGACATTTATTTGTTATTCTTATATTGTTATAGGCCCAAGATAACCAGATTGGATTTTAAGAAGAATAAATTAACCCTGGTGGTTGTAGAAGATGATGATCAGGTAGGAATTGTATTGCATTATTTATTTAACAATGACTATGTTATGTGATAACTTAAGTCTCTAAAAGAGGAAATGTTCCTTGTTGTTTTACAGAGCCATAGAACTTAGTACAATTAATAATTTAATTAAAAAATTTCCTGCTTCAAGTCACACCATCCTAAAAATACAGTTTTCTGCCCTTAAGATTAAAGATAATGTAGACTATTCTTGTTTCTTCATTGATAAATAAATCTCGTGTATAAAAAGTTACGTTTAAATAACTTTATCTGTTTAGTACCTGATCAAAAAGATTAATCAAAAAGATCGACCTAGTAATATTTTTTAATAAAGCCTACTAAAATAAGGATTACGGTTTTTTTGCAGTTAAATCTAGTTCCTAATTGATAAACACAGCAACGTGGATGCATCTCAAATGTGTACACTAAGTGAAAGAAGTCGGACTCAAAAGATACGACTGTCTGAGTGCATTTCTGTGGCAGTCTGGGAAAGGCAGACCTGTAGATGTGGAAAACAGATCACCAATTGTTTGAGCTTAGGGGGGTGAGGAGGCTTGATTAAAAAGGAGCAGCACAGGGAATTGTGGGAGTGAGAACTATTCTGTGTCGTGATTTTGGTGGTGGTTGCTAGACTATGCATTTGTCAAAACTCACAGAATTATGAGAAAATAAAAATAATTTTACTGCATACAAAGAAATAAATTTGAAAAAAACATGTACATACTATAGACCAATGTAGGTAAAAGCAAATTGGGCAGAATGTTACAAAGATTGGTGGTATGCACAGTGGAGTGTGAGAATGACCAAGCAGAACTGAAAAAAGAAGATTCTCAAAATTAGATGAAACAGTGATAAATTTTAAGTTTTACTGCTGATATACATGCAAATGATTGCCTTATCACACACTTTGGAAGAAAATCAAGACAATAATAGAGCATTTTGAAAAGAAATCTTTTGATGGCACAAGGGATGATCATTATATCATCAACAAATGAGTTGAAAATGATTCAGAAGAGGCAGATTTCAGATGTAAAAATAACTTATTTTACAAATATTTTCCTTTTTATGTGAGCACATATGTGATTAAATGATACTTGTATCTAAATCTAAAGATCATCCTTCAAGAAGAATAAACTATAATTCTATGTGATAAGAAAACATGGTCATAATTGGTGACACTCGTCCTTATTGGGCCATAAAATAATTGTGCATCTTAACAATGACTTTTTTTCTTCTTCTTTTTGTGAGGAAGATAGGCCCTGAACTAACATCTGTTGCCAGTCCCCCCCGACCCCCGTTTTTTTCCCCTCCCAGAGTCCCAGTAGATAGTTGTATATTGTAGTTGTAGGTCATTCTAGTTCCTCTATGTAGGATGCTCCCACAGCATGGCTTGATGGGAGGTTTATAGGTCTGCACCCAGGATCTGAACCGGCAAACCCTGGGCCGCTAAAGCGGAGTGTGCAAAGTTGACCATTACACCACTGGGCCATCCCGAATGACATTTTAGATTTGATCTAATACAATAGTAGCTTCTTGGATGTATTTTTGAAGGTGTTTTATACATATATACAAGCAAATGTATGTATCAGTTCTTTATACAAAAGTTATTATGCTTATATACTATTCTCTACTTACCTTTTTTTTAACTTTACATTATAACTTGGAATCTTTTCCATATCTGTGCATAAAGTACTTCTTCATTCTTATTAAGGAAAACAAAATAAAACTACTTAATATTCTAGTGTATGGATGTACCATAATTTATTTAATCAATTCTCAGTTAATTGACATTTATTCACTGTAAATACATTAATTTGTAGATTGGCAAGTATCTATAGGATAATTTCCTGGAGGTAGATTTGGTGTTTCAAATGGTTATGTGCATTTGTCCTGGATATAGAGAGATCCTATTGAGTTCCACTATTTATTGGTGTACAAACCTGTTTCCTCAGAGGGAGTAAACACATTTTTATCTGAAAGGTGATAATGGAATTTCATTTTAGGTTAATTTTTATTTCTGTTATTATGAGTGATATGGAACATCTTTTTATACATTTGAGTTATTTGAATTTCCTTTTCTCCAAACTGTCTATTCATATCCTTTGCCCATTTTTCTTTCAGGTTGTTGGCCTTTTTTCTTACAGGTTTTGACCTTTGTCATAGAAATTGTAAATATTTTATCTTACAGTTGTCTTTTAATATTGCTTATCATGGTTTTTACCATGCACTTTAAATAGGTGAATTTATCAGTCTTTTATGGCTTGTGGGTTTTGTGTCATAGAAAGGTTTTCCCTACTTTGAGGTATACATTTTCCCATGGTTTTTTTCCTATGTGCAGTTTTTGTTGGTAAATTTTATTGAAGTATAACATAAATTCAGATAAGTGTGAAAATAAGTGTACAGCTTGTTGAATTTTCACCTACGCCTGTATGACCAGCACCCCGATGAGGAAATGGAATAGTACCCGAGCTGTAGGATCTCCCTGTGCCCTCACCAGGTCCAGTCCTCAAGGGCAACCACTCCCCTGACGTTACCACTGTTAATAAGATTAGACTTTGCTTGTATTTGGACTTTATGTAAGTGCAGCCTGACTGAATGTTCTCGTGGTGTCTGCGTCTTTCTTTCAGCGTGGTAGTTGTGAGCGGCAGCTGTTGCGGTGACTGGTTGTAGTGGGCTCGTCCTTGTTGATAGATAGTATTCCATTTTATGACTAGACCACGCTTACTTATCCATCCTGCTGACGGATATTTGAGTTATTTTTAGTTTTTGGCTATTAAGAAGAGTGCTGCTCTGAGCACTAGGAGACGCCTGTGTTTGACTTTTGTGAGGACCATCAGTTTTCCAAAGTGTCAGACAAGTTTACGTTCCCACCCGCAGTGTGTGAGAGTTCCGTTTGTTCTTTTCTTGGCTAATGTTGGTGTTCTCTTTTTCATTTTATCCATTGTGGTAGTAGAATCATTTTATGGTTTTAATTTGCATTCCACTGATGACTGTTTAGCACTTATTTGTATATTTGTTGACTATTAAGATACTCTCTTTTATGAAGTGCCTGTTCAAGTCTTTTGTTCACTTTTCTATTGGGTAATGAGCTTCTTTTCTCAGTGAAGAAGTTCTTTACATATTCTGGATATCAGTTCTTTGTCAGATATATGTGTTGCAAGTATCTTCTGATCCTTGGCTTGCCTTTTGACTCCCTTAGTAGTATCTTTTGTATAAGTAGAGGGTTTCAATTTTAATGTAATACACTTTATAAATTTTTTTCTTTGTCATCAATACTTTTTGTGTGTTGAAATTTAAGAATTTTTGCTTATATCAAGGTCATGGAGAAACTACATAGAGTTTATAAAACATTTTACATGACAAAGTAGTTTAAATGAGAAAATATTCAACATATACTGAAAAGTACAAAAAATTATAAAACTGGTATCCATTTTACTCATCTAGATTTAACATTTTTGGCATTGTTGCTTCAGAATTATCTTTTAGAAATAGATAAATTAATAAAAATAAATTTGATACAGCTAAGGTCTGATCTCCCAGCTCATACCTTTCTTCCCCATAACTGGCCATCATTCTTGGAGGATATCATTCTCACACTTTCCAACTTTTTCCAGATATAAACACATCATAACACATGGTAGAATTGTTTTAAAAATTTACATAGATCGTATATATTTGGATTTTTTGCAGCCCTTGCTTATTTTACCCAAACGGATATAGCCATGTAGATCTAGTTCATTGATTTTTAACCTATATATAAAATTCTCTTTTTCTTTGGTGAAGAAGATTAACTCTGAGCTAGCATCTGTTGCTAGTCTTCCTCTTTTTTTTTTTTTTTTGTGCTTGAGGAAAATTAGCCCTGAGCTAACATCTGTGCCAATCTTCCTCTACTTTGCGTGTGGGTCGCTGCCACAGCATGGCTTGATGAGTGTGTAGGTCTGTGCCTGGGATCTGAACCTGCGTTGCCAAAGTGGAGTGCGTTGGGCTTAACTGCTATGCCACTGGGCTGGCCCCACTATAGTATTCTATAGTATGAAAAAACAATAGTGCATTCATCTTTTGTTCATTTATCTCTGTATAGTTTTTAAATATACTATTATTTACTTGATTATTTCTCTTGTTTTGGACTAAATGTTTTTTGCCAAGTTCTAATATTATAAATGAGAGTGTGAAGAAAGTCTCTGGGTGTAAATTTTGGTGTTTAGAAAATCTTTTTCCTTAGAGAGACAGTGTACCTTAGTTATTACAAACATAGGCTCTGGAGCCCAAATGACTAAGTTCAAATTCTGGTTTCCTCTCTTACTAGCTTTGTGACCTTGGGCTTATTTTCTTGAGCTTCAGTTTCCTTATCTGTGAAATGGGGCTAATGATAGTATCTACTCATTGAAGCAGCTCCTGTGAAATCTTTAGAAAAGTACCTGTGAATGTTAACTGGTAGATTCCTGTGGTTATGGTTGCTATGACAAAAATGTAGACATTTTTAAGTCTGTTGAACTATATTGCCAGATCTTATATGAACTTTTAAATTATAATTGTACATTTATCCCAAAGTATGGCAGATAAAGCCCATTTTATGTTTCTCTGAGCAACGAGATCACACATAGAGAGGACCCTCTTAGGAATATTTTTACATTGGCTAAGAAAATGGACAGCTTGACTTCAACTCTGCCTTTTTATGTAGGTAGCTATAAAGAGTGTCTGGGTTTCAGGGAGCAAGCCAGATGCTTTATTATTTGATTCTTGGTATTGCTGTGGTTTTATTTGTACCTGAGTAATGGGATGGGACTGTTTGATCTAATAATTACCTATTTTTACATCCTTTTTTCTTTTTCAGGGCAAAGAGCAGGAGCATACATTTGTCTTTAGACTGGATCATCCCAAAGCGTGCAAACATTTATGGAAGTGTGCTGTGGAGCACCATGCCTTCTTCCGCCTCCGAGGCCCCGTCCAGAAGGGTTCCCATCGATCGGGATTTATTCGACTAGGATCACGATTTAGATATAGGTTAATGTTAACAGCTGCTTGCTATAGCTTTAATTCATTTATAGAGGCCAAAAAATTTAGGCCAACCTCTCATTTTACAGGTGTGGAAACTAAGGCATGGAGAAATAAAGTGATTTGCCAGTGTTTTCCATTGGCCAGAATAAAAGGAAAAAGTGCTGTTGTTATTGGTTGTAATTTCCTGAATAGACAAGAAAATATTGTAATGGTGTAATTAATTTTATATCCCTCTTGACATTTACTTTATGTATTAATTAACCCCTGATTTAAATCCATGTAGCAAAAGTTGTATCTATATGTTTAGGGAGTCTCTAACCAATAACTGTCTACCACATAGTAGAAGGGTATCCTGCACTGAGTGGGAAATTAATCTGGATAACATTTCTGGTCCTTTATAAATGTGGTTTCATTATTCTCATAGATTTTGTTTGTTTGTTGGTGATAAATTACAAATATTTTGGTTTACCTGAGAGTAGATTGATTGTGAGTTTTCAGCATACGGTGAGAATCAGTCTGTATGATTTAAAGAAGGAATGGATAATATCAATAATGTGGCAAGTCGATTGTGTGGGATTCATGTAAGAGAGCTTCTTTCTACTTATATTAAAAGTGGAGAGGTATTTTCTTCATAGAATTTAAATGGAAATTAAGGAGAGTGAGGTAGTTTTAAATATTTCTGGAAAATGATTTTGAATGTATATTACAATTAGAAAAAGTAAATGAGAATCTTGAGTTAATTGCACACTTTGATTGAGAAGTGTGGATGGGGAGGGCAAGGAAGTTCCATAAAAGCACAGGTACTCCAAACTTATTTAAGTTATTTTTAGATGATGTGCATGCTTAAGAAAAAGCAATATAATTTGTGTGTTGCATATTTCACACAAGCCTAATGAGTGAAAGAATGATATGGTAAAGAGAGACATCAAGATTTCCATTAGTAGTTTCTTTAGGATGGCTCTTTTAAGGAGAACCTCAATGTAGACTTTCTCTCATTTATGTCTGATTACTGGAGGCCTCAAATTCTCTTATTCCTGTTAATATGCCTCATTTATTTTAGTGGGAAAACTGAGTATCAGACCACAAAAACCAATAAAGCAAGAAGATCAACATCCTTTGAAAGAAGACCCAGCAAACGATATTCTCGACGAACTCTACAAATGAAAGGTGAAATGCAACCGTTTCACAGGACTTTTCTTCCTTGACAGTTCCTCCTGTGTTGGTATTGTTTACTTGAGAGGAAGTTGGCTGAATCTTGAGTCTGTGCCAGTCAACTAAAGTATTATTGAATTTGGTTCTGGCATAATCAATTTAATAAAACACAAGGGAAAAAAATTGCCTTTATTATTGCTGAGGGTAAAACTTCATGTTAATCCCAATTCGGACACTATTCTGAGTTGTTCAGTTTTTGTTCACGTGAACTGTTTTAGTTCTGTAGAGTAGCATTTTCCCTTCACTTTTTGACTTCTAGATCTCATTCATAGTAATCTCTCAAATCCCCTTGGGACTTTTACCAACGTTGGTATATGCTGAATAAATTTTAAGTAAAAATTTATTTCATATTATAATATTATTAAGGATTCTGTTAAATACAGTTTTTAAATTTAATTTTCAGTGTACATCATTCATAGACATTTCCAAGTTCATAAATGTTACCTGCTAATTTGTTACTTTAATTATGTAATTAAAAGCATAGGGGCTGGCCCTGGGGCTGAGTGGTTAAGTTGGTGCACTCCGCTTCGGTGGCCCAGGGTTTCACCGGTTCAGATCCTGGGCACGGACATGACACCACTCATCACGCCACGCTGAGGTGGCATCCTACATGCCACAACTAGAAGAACGTGCAACTAAAATATACAACTATGTACTGGGGGAATTTGGGGAGAAAAAGCAAAAAAAAAAAAAAAAAAGCATAGTTTACTTTGACAAATAAACTAAAACTTATGTTTGGTTTAGAATCTGAGTTTGCATTAAAATACAGATTGAATTTTAAATTTGTGTAGTGTCAGGGTCATTACCAGTTGTCCAGAAATAACTGCCATGACCTGATGTTTGGCAGTATCAGTTTTTTAAAAAACTGATTTTTATTCATAATTTTTAGTATGGCTATGAATCAAATAATGAACCACTTCAATATGTGGTGGTTTAAAATCCTAACACTCCTTACTTCCCACGTTTCATTGTTGCTCAGGTCACACGAGGAAGCTGGCAGATATCTGTTGTAAAAGAAAAGATGCGTGCTTATTTTACTGATTATTTCAAAAATGGAAATAGTTGTCATTATTGACTTTAATGATGTGAACCCTAGAACACTATGAAAGGAAGGTTTTTAAATCTATAGTTGGGAAACAGGGCTTACAAAACAATTAGTCCAGATTTGCTTTTATGAATGGTGAAGCAGTTTGCCATGTAAGAGGAAACTAATGAGATGTTCTCTTTTTTCTTCTGTCAGCAAGTACAGCAAAACCTGAAGAACTCAGGTGAGTAATGTCCTGCAACTTAGGAATTGATATAGAATATTTTAGAATTTATGTACTTGGTGTCATTAATTAAACAGATATTTGTTGAAGACCTACCAAAATGTTAAGTTGTCCCTAAGCATTGGGGATATAGCAGAGAACAAATAAACATGTAATGCCAGATAAAATTGACACAAAGAAAAATGAAGCAATTTGGAGAAATAAAGAGTGGAGTGGGGGTGGATGTGCTATTTATAATGAGAATGACAAACATTTGTTATTGGCGTGTGACTCAGGATATAAAGATGAATCAATTATGGTCCTTGCGCACAATGAGCTCAAAGAACAAAGGTAGATTTACAGATAAGCAGTTAATTTTATATCTGGGATAAACCCCACTTGGTCATGGTGTATGTCCTTCTCTATATTATATGTTGCTGCATTTGGTTCACTGGTGTTTTGTTGTGGATTTGTGTGTCTATTCATCAAAAGTATTGGTCTGTGGTTTTCTCGTACTGTCGTCTTCTGGTTTTGGTGTCTGGGTAATACTGGCTTGACAGAATGAGTTGGGAGATGTTTCCTTCTTTCCTCTTGTTCGGGAGGTGTCTGTAAACAATTTGTATTCTTTATATGTATGGTAGAATTCACCATTAAAGCCATCTTGCTTGGACTTCCTTTTTGTGTGAAGTTTTAAAATTCCTAATTCAATTTCTTGTTATAGGTCTATTCAGATTTCATTTTTCATCTTGAGTCAGTTTGGGAGTTTGTGTCTTTCTAGAATTTGTCCATTTTATCTAAGTTAGAACTGTTAGCAGTGTTCTGTATTTTTAAAATTATTTTATTTGGTTTTTTTGTTCATTTAATGGATCATGTCTTGCTTTCCTGAAAGGGGCTGGGACAATATTACAGCTGAAAGTCAAGAAGATAACCTGGTGCAGTTAGCAGAAATGTGGAAAAAGTATTCAAGTACTGACGGGTGGTTGAAAAATTAAGGCTTTGTTTGTAAGAGTCTGTCCTCCTTTATAAATTTTTTGAAATATACATTTCTGACCAGAAAGTGAGTATGACTGTGTAGTCTTTATGTTTAGAATTAAGATTAATTTAACTTTAATAACTAAATTTTGTTGTCTTTTCTTGAGTAATGCTTTTGGCTCTTGAAAACACAGAAGAAATGGGATATTTAAGTCATGATACTTCATTATTTTTTTATTGGAATAAACTTTTAGGAATGAACTCCGAGAGGGAGTCCCAGCTCTGCTGAAGGTCATTCAGCACTGCTGCTGACAGTGCCTGAGGGAACCTGAGCTTGGACTGCGTGACTGCCCTTTCATACTTGCCGTTGTAGTTTGTTTGCCTGAAGAGTTTTGCTCCAGTGAACCGTGGGAAACAGCACTGTTTGAAAAAGCACAACTATTTAACCTAAAAAGCCTCTTGACCTTATACTGTGCCTATTTGAATAACAGGTTTTTAAATTGGCTGATGTCGGGAATTTTCCTTGTACAATTTCTTCTCCTCTGACTACTCCCTTGTGAATGTTGACTAATATAAAGTATTTTAAGAAGAGGTGACATTTTAAAGGATAGTTCACATTTCAGTTATTCGTATTTTTTTGTGCAGGCTTAGTGGACAGAATCTTAGACACGAGAGGAAAAGAAGAAATGGTGGAGGACATGATGGATAGAGGGAGTTTAAAAGCAAAAGGGGTCAGTTGTTGCAGGGAGCCCTTTAAAAGGGGAAGCTTGGATTAGGTCAGTATTGAGACATGTTCGTTCCTGCTTTCATATTAGTGGAGGTGAAAGAATGTGTGTAGTTAGGAGAAAATCGTGCTTTCTGCATTTCAGATTATTTGTAAACAGAGAGCCATGATTCAATTAACATCACTTATTATAAGCACTTTTTTTCTTACATTGTTATTCATCTTTTATTCATCACCTGTTGAAGTTATTCCAGTCAAAGGAAAAAGCTTCAGAGAGTAACCCAGGCGATCGTATGGAGTAGTGAGTCTAATTTCTATACCAGGCAGGTTGGATAAAATTTCATTAATATTTGGGATTATGGATTACTTAAACGAGCATAATGTATTCTGGGAAGAGGAAAATGGTTAGTAGAAAGAAATCATGCCTCATAGATATATTCTTTACAATTACCTTGGCAGCAGATCTACACTAAGCAATATTTTTTGTAACTTTTTTTGTCAGTTAGTTTTATTTATCACTCTTCTTTGTGCTTTGCTAGTATTAATTCCTTTAATCTTCCTAACGTTATCGTGGAGAAGAGGAACCGGAGATTCAGAGAGCAGGGCTGGTGGTGCTGCACATTTGAACCCAGGTGACGGTAGCGCAGGTTCTGATGGCCCAGCTTGTGATAGCTATGTAGTTAATAAAAAATCAGATAGAATCACCCACCGTCTTTAGCAAGGCGTCTTCATTCGTGAGTTCTTTCTTAATTAGTTGTCTTTCATCATCACTGGGTTTTTGTTTTGCTTTAATTCTTCTAAGAAGGCTCATGGATGTTGTCTTCAGAGTGTGTGAGAAGCTTTGCCCGTTTCCTTTTACTGGGATGACATCTTGGCCGTGGCTGTGGAGAAGTCTGTGCCAACCTGATAGTGGCAGGGATTTGCTTTTAGATCTGCTTGGGGTTCCTGAAGTATTCTTTCTTTATCCTTGAAGATCAGTAATTTAACAATAAGAGATTGAATGTATTTAATTCTGTTTCTCATTTTCCTGGAACACAGTGCTCTTATTAAATCTGTAGATTATTTTCTCACTTTCAAGGAATTTTTTTTATAACTTTGAGCGTATTTTCAGTTACTTTCATTGAATTCTTTACCTCAGGGTACTAATTATGCTTATGTTAGAAGGTCTGAAGTTAGTAAACTTTTTTTCCTTTCGTTTATTTTTTTAATTTTTATTTTATTTATTTATTTATTTTGGTGAGGATGACTGGCCCTGAGCTAACATCTGTACTAGTCTTCCTCTAGTTTGTATGTGCGATGCCACCATAGTGTGGCTTGATGAGCGGTGAGTAGGTCTGTGCCTGGGATCTGAACCATGAACCCCAGGCCCCTGAAGCGGAGGCTGCGAACTTAACCACTTCGTTGCTCGCCTGACTCCCCTTTTCCCCCTCATTTTGTTGTAGTAATATCTCATCTTTGAGTTCTTATTTCATTGAATATTTGTTCTCTTTTTTTAGCTGTTCTGAGGTTTGTTTCTTTTTATTTTTTTTAATCTACAGAAAATGTATTTGGGTTGTTTTTCTTAATAATTGTTTTCTTTTTTTTTAATGTATGTTTTATTGCGGTAACATTGATTTATAACATTTTATAAATTTGAAGTGTATGTCAGTACATTTCGATTTCTGTGTGGATTACATCATGTTCACCACCCAAAGACTGATTACCATCTGTCACCACACACATGTGCCTAGTCACCCCCTTTGCCCTCCTCCCTCCCACCTTGAGGTTTGTTTCTATTTATTTTGTTGTATTAAAGGTTGAGTTTTTTAAGTGCTTTTTTGAGGGCATAAAGGGAGATGAGTGCAGCCTAAAATAAATTTTTAAAAACATATTTATAGGGAGCCGATCCGGTGGCATAGTGGTTGGGTTCATGCACTGTGCTTTGGTGGCCAGGGTTCACCAGTTCGGATCCCAGGCACAGACATACACACCACTTATCAAGCCATGCTGTGGCAGGTGTCCCACATATAAAGTAGAGGAAGATGGGCACAGATGTTAGCTGAGGGCCAATCTTCCTCAGCAAAAAGGAAGATTGGTGGCAGATGTTAGCTCAGGGCTAATCTTCCTCAAAAAAGAAAAATAGAGGAAGATTGGCACAGATGTTAGCTCAGCAACAATCTTCCTCAAGCAAAAAAAGAGGAAGATTGGCAACAGCTGTTAGCACAGGGCTAATCTTCCTCACCCAAAGAAAGAAAAATTTATAAATTCATTTGGAAGGAAAGGTATACAGAGAAGTTTCTAACTTTAAGTTTATACTAAGGTCTTTTGAGTTAAAAAACGCTAAGCTGTTGCTTCCACTAGGAAATCTTGAGAGGGTAGGAGTGTACAAAAGAAGTGACAGGTAAGTTTATGTGGGTGTTTGTGCTGACTGCCTTGAATGTAAGGAATCATTTGTGCTGCTATCTTTGTTTTGCGATCTTTGACAGATACAGTCCTGTGAATAAACGAGATTAGTAGTGAAGTACATGTCTAAAGCATAATTAAAATATAGGTATATGGAAATATCAAATGAGCATACTGTAGAAAAGCAAGTGTTTGCCTATAAAAGCAGATGTTTTCTGGGTATCTTACGTTCTTAGTTTTAGGTACCAACAGTAATTTTTTCTTTATTTGAAACAAAACAAGTAATGTCTTCAAAAATAAACTACTTTCATTAGTGTATGTATAGTCTTATGATGTGAACCTGTAGAGCTTCATATATGACTTTTTAATAGATTTTTTTTCCCCCATTACAGTGTCCATAATAGTGTTTCAACTCAAAGTAATGGCTCCCAACAGGTAAGACAATATTAAGTTTTTAACCACTAGAACACTGTAGTTAATAATGACAAACAGTAGTATTGAATTTTTCATAGTGGTGTAACCTTGGGAAAGCTTTTTTGCATTTTCTTTTTCTTACCTGTAAAGTGGTCAATGACGTGAAACTCTCTGTTATTTTATTCTCTGAGATGTAAATAGAAGAAGTGCTCTATAAAACATTTTCTGTCCCTATAAATCCTGTAGAATGAATAAAATATTAATATTCAGTTAGATTATCTTTAGTATATAAGATCAAGCATTTGTTTATATTATATTTATTCACTATGTAAATAGTACTCCTTTTTAATTTTCTATTTATTGGTGAAGAGATCTATCATCTTAGCAAAATGCATGATTTTGTAATTTGTTTCCAAAGCCTTGGGGAGTGAGATCTGCTCTGCCTGTGAACCCTTCCATTCCCTCTGGTCCTGTGCTGGTGGAGGTAGAGAATCTTCCCAGGAGTCCTGGAACAGACCAGCGTGACAGGAAATGGTTTGTTAACTCCTTAAACTAAGATAAAATATTGCTTGCTTAATGGTATTCCAAATTCCCAGCCATAATCTTAGAGTACTTTAAATATGATTGAAAGCAAATTATTCATATTTGTTAGATGAAAAGAAGCATATTATTGAGCAGTCATATTGGGATGGGGAAAATAAGGAATATAGATGAAGAAGGGAGTGCATTTGTTTAAATGCAGAACATCAGACAGCTCTCCTTAGTTTGGTTAGCGTGATCTGGGAGTGGTAGGTGGTTCTCTGTTGAAAAAGACTTCAGTGCCAGTCAGTTGAACCTTTTCCCAGATCCCTAAGGAAGATATGTTGGTTACATGTTATTCCGCATAACATGATGCTACTGCTTTGGATGTATTTTCTTCATTAAAGACCGAAGACAAAGCCAAAAGGGAAACATGATTATAGTCCGATGAAACAAAGCATGAAATACTCCATTTTTGGGGATGGAGAGATAATGTGACGACAGGAAAGATTGTCATTTGTTTAGATTTCCAAGGTCTTTTTTTAGATTAATAATAAGTACACAAATATGAATACTTTGTGGCTTATTGGGGTTAATCAGTGGGGTTCCTCCTTTCCCAAATAAATGGTTGTGGCTTGGGGGGCTCCATGGGAATTAATTATTTGATTGAATGGTCATGTTGGTTGCATCATCTGTTCAAGTTTTGTGTTTATTTATGAAATGAACTTTGATAATTCATAGGATGTTTTCTCTTTTTCTCTTGCTCTTAGTTTGTTTAATACCTGAAATCTAATGAGTTTCTGTGGTGATCTCAAGGTTTTGGTCAGCTTTCTGTGCAACCGGTTCTTCCTTGATGGTGGTGGGTCAACAGTGGTTGGTGATTATTTTCAGTCTTTGCTATGTGATTGTTTTTCTCTGTCATTTTGGCTTAACTAACAGCAAGGTGCTTTGCTCTTGATGGTTGGGAATATTTCTACTTCAGTTCCAAATATCTTGACTAGTTTCTAAGATGGAGGAGATTTTTTTTTCTTGTTTTTCCCTTTATCTTTTTTTTTCCCTTTCTACTTGAAAGTGTGATGGGAGTACTTTGTGTCTTTGTGCATGTGGCCACACACTTAAAGTGTAACAGTGAGACTTCTCAATGTCGGATTTCATTTCATGTTTTTAAGCCATTAAAAAGAGTTTCTTGGATTTCTTACTGAAAACACAGCTCCAGGAAGCAGCTATGTTTTATCTTCTTGATATTACCACCAACCAAGTCCTATTGGCAAGGAAACATAGTTCTGAGCCTTCAACTTGAAGAATCCCTTCATACATATTACCTTTTATAGTGATATGGAATGAGAGTCTGGTTTGTTTGCATCGTGTGTTATGATACTAAATCTTTATTGAGATTTCCAATTTTAATGGGTACATATTTAAATCTGCTTAATTTGATTCATTAGGCAATACTCAGTTCCTTTGCTGTAACTTTTAGAAAGAGAGAACATTGAACCTGAGAGTTCTGAATCTCAAGAAAAATGAAAAATTTGGAGCTGTGTCTCTTTCCTTTATATAGTTGTGCTGAGACCTCCTTTGCTGAAATGGAGTAAAGTGGTGATCCTTAAAACCTAGTGGCCTCAGTGTGTGTCAGCATGGCATGGAACTGAATTCAGGACTAATGTGTCTTGGAGCTAATGAATTCTCCAGCCTTGATTTAAAATGCGTTCTGCATTTCAGTCTTTGTTTTTGCATGCTTTGATTCTTGTTAATACTTTTAAATGAATATAAAACAGTCCTCCCTTAGACAGTAATAAAGTAACAAAATTTAGAAATGTTCCCTAGGTTTGAACAGTTGGGCAGAATAATGGAGTATTCCATTTCTGGCAGATAACTTTTAACCAGTTTACTCTAAACCTACCCTGTTCAATTCTTTAGCTTTTCCTTGCTGGAATCTTCTAAATGATGCCATTATTTCAGTGAATGATTTAGTATATTGGTAACTTAGAATTATCCAATGTTTAAATATCACCTTTTGAGGAACAATTTGTGTATTTTAAATCCATAAACTGTTTATAAACAACAACAAAAACAAAACTGAATAATATTTGGAAAATTTTGCCTATATAGGGGAGAACATAAACCAAATTTAATTTCCTAAATTTTCAGAGACCCTGTGTTGATGGCCATGAATTTTATGGGTTAGATCTGATGAACAAATTATATTTTAGTTGAAGGAAAAAAGGTGATTTTATTGTAAAAAAAAAACGTCTTTCAGGTTTGTCCTGAAAAATCCTTCCAGCTAATTTCTTTTCAGTTTCCCTAAGGAAAAAAGGTGGAAGATTCATGTTTTGGTTGAGTTAGAAAAATACTATGTTTAAAAATCCATCCTTAGACCTCTTTTGTAATTGGGATGGTTTTTTTCTTTGTAGCTGTTCTAAATACGTGCTGCCCTTTTTGCCATGTCACAAAACCTTGGTGTGTGTGAACCTTGGCGAGTGTTTTCTTTCTACTGGAGGACTCTCATCTTTTCTAACCCTGCTGCTTGTATGCATGTTTCACACTCATAGTTCTCTAGGCCTATTCTATACCGCTGTGTGATAAAAGATATCTGATATGCTTATTAAACTGTTTCTTGGAGAGGGCTTACAATCTCAGTATCTGTACCTGTTGAATTTCATTCTGAGGTTCTGTGAACTTCAGTTATAGAAGGAACAATGATTCTCCATTGTTAATTTGTTAATCTCCATTGTAATTGTTAATGGAACATTGATGTGAAATTACATGGCCTCTGAAGGTAGTTTTCTTTTCCTTTTGGTGAGGAAGATTGGTCCTGAGCTAACATCTGTTGCCAGTCCTCCTCTTTTTGCTTGAGGAAGATTGTCACTGAGCTAACATCTGTGCCAGTCCTCCTTCATTTTGTATGTGGGATGCCACCACAGCATGGCTTGATGAGTGGTGTGCAGGTCCGCACCCAGGATCCAAACTGGTGAACCCTGGGCTGAGAAAGTGGAGCATGCTAACTTAACCACTATGCCACTGGCCTGCCCTCCTGTAGATTTTTTTTATTGCTCTTTCTGGTTTGTTTTCTGGATTTCAGTTTTGTGTAATCACTTAATTCGGGGAATAATTTTCACAATTGCCCTTTTCTCTGTGTGCTTTTGTCCTTATGTAGAATTGTCCTTTCACATATTTAAATTAAATAGATTATAAATTTTTTTTCTTCTTATTAGAACCTCAAACGTTTCAGCCTTTGATTTTGATAGTAACATCAGGAACAGATACAGAGGGTCTTGTTCTCTGTGAAATTTGCACTTGATTTAATTTGCTTAACTGACTCTTTATTACTTACATGTATTTCCGTATTGTCGTTTTCCGCTACATGTAGCTTTGTGGATTCCTCTCCTTTGTTATTCTTGAATGTTGTCATTGCATGGAGTAGATGCTGATAACTACTCATAGCAGTGGTGCATGCTGGTCTCATCGCCTTTTTCCTTTATTACCTCTGAAACACATATGTTTTCTCCTATTTCTATTGACTAACTGTCCTCCCCTCCCACTCCCCAACCATCCAGGCTCTCTGCTGCCAGTGACTGCTGTCAACGTGGTGGAAACCAGTGGAACACAAGGGCCTTGTCCCCACCCCAGCCTGCATATAGAAACTACACTGACTTTGTCCATGAACACAATGTGAAGAATGCAGGAGTCCATCATGATGTTCATTTTCCCAGCCATGCAGCCATGACTGAGATATGAGTGTTAAGCCTCTTAGGCATTGGGACTCTTTGTCATGACAGTTGATGGTATAAAACTTGATGGTATACGTTTTCTAGTGTTTATAGAGGATTGATCACATTAGGAGAAATTGGGAGAAGTTATTTTATATTAAGTTACTAGTTGTGTAGTGTCGTTTGTAATTAAATTCTTCTCTGAAAGGGAAAAGGATCTGAAGAAGCCGTATGCCGTCAATGATAATGATAAATGTTTTTGTGTTGAAAAGGGTATGTATATCATTGTAATTTTGGAAAGGTTTTTCATACTTTTAACATGTTAACACATCACTCAGAAGATGTCTCAGGAGAAGGTTTGTGTTTGTGAACAAGCTCCCCATTATCACCCACCCCCATGCCCTCCCAATAGATTGAGGTTAAAAGAATCAGACACACTAAAACCACACTCGGAAGCATGTCCAGGTTCCATGTATCAGCCTTGGTGATATTTTTATAAAACAGCTCTTACACACTATTTTTAATACTTCTAGAGTGACCCATGTCTTAATTTCAGTTAAGTGCCTAAGATACTATCATTTTAATTAATGTAATTTTTAATTAAAGAGACTTTTAGTCTTTAGTAAACACATATATTTTAATTTACCAAAAGATCTAGAAATCACATTAATAATGTGATTCATGTAGAGAGAAATCTGAATGGTTACTTTTGCATGATTCGTCAGCCAGTGGTTAACTGAGTGGTTACGTTACTGCTGAATGGTTGTACAAAACGGAAAATGTATTTAGTTTTGTCTTTTCACTTTTCTCTCTTCTTTCATCTCTTACATCTGATAGATTTCCCAGATTTTCAATAGCCCCATAATCTGGTCTTGTACAACCTTCAAAATAAAATTTTGAAGCCAAAACTATATCACTTTTAAGTGGATTGGATATATTTCTGGTTTTGGTCCTTTATGAACTTCAGAATGTAATATCTAAGCTCTTTGGTTTAATTCATATGGGCAAATTAGCTGGAAAAAGTACATTTCTGATATAATGGGAACTGATGTAAGGAAAGCATTTCTTTTGTCTTTTTACAGTTTTTTAAAATTCTAACAGTTTTTAAACTTTAAACCATGTAATAGTAATTTGAAGATATTTCATAGTCTGAGAATTCATAATACTTCAAGATAATGAAGCTTCATTATACTCGGGTTAACCCATCTACTGTCCTGCTCACCTCAGAAGTTGGTCTTCTTCCTCTGCTAGACAAAGATAAAGGTTTCCGAGGGCTTTGTTACTGGACTGTTGGTTGCAAATACAATACAGTTTGTTGATAGAAGACATAAGTAAGCAGAACTAAGTAATATTTAGGGATTGAAACCTATAGGCAGGTTTCAATTTGTGAGTTTATTACAATTGTATATAGAAGGATGAATGCTCAAAGTATTTTTTAGTGCATCCTGCAAATATGAACAGATCCCTGTCTTAAATAGCCCAGCTCTCTACCTCTATCAGTCTGTCATCATTTAGCATGCTTAAAAATGGCCACTGACATATGTCCCTCATAGTTGTTTTAGACTTTACATAACTCAGATTATAATTGTCAAGTATTGTCGATGGTGATTTCTTTCTTAAAAGAAAGGAACTTGAGTCATAACATTTTGAAAGCAAAGAAGCCCTGGTTTGTGCCATTCAAGAAAATCAGAGTGAATATGATTAAGAACCTATTCTTTTATAGTAGAAACCAAAGAAGCATAATAATGACAAAGCTTTTCTGGTCTTTTAGAAAGTCCCAAGGTTTGACTTCTCTCACTTTAAAATTAATCTTGAAATCAAAGGTGAGACCGCTGATAAAATGCCTCGTATGTATCTTAGCAGAATCTTAACTTTGGGAAAAATGGAAGGATTGTAGTTGAAGACTAAGATCTTCACTTTATCTTGAAAGTGGTAATTTCCTTACTTAGAATGAGTTAATCAATACTGTTACATTTAAGTGAAAGAAGAATCACGTCATGGTTTTTCTTTCTTTGAAAATCTTGTTATATAATAATTCATTTGTTATATAATAGTTTTGTGTTATATAATACTTGTTATAGAATAGTTCAAATTACTGATGATAGAAATTGGGTTGGAGGGGTGATGGGGCAAAAAGGGGATGGAGAAGTCTAAGGGCTAAGACTGGATGGTAGTGGAATCAAATTTGTCTATTTTATAGAAGTAGCTATATGCTTCAGGATCTCATCTCAAATAGTGTGAATATTCTTGCTGCTATTTTCAAGATGAATATATATGTTTCCAGAGCTATGAAGAATTTACTTAGATAGCTCAACCTAAATTAAACAAATAGTCACCAGCCTTTTTATACTCTGCACTTTATTATGGCTAAAGGATCAGTGATCATACATCCTACATGAGGGAACTCATATCCTCCAGAAGCACCTTACTTGGTCACTCTCCTTTTGATTAGAGGGACTTATCTGCACAGAACTGCAGGGTCATGTGATTCAATGTCAGTGCTTTGGCTAATTTTATTTAGCATAATTAATTTTAGCATCTTGAGTTAGGTTGGTTGTGTTTTAACTGCATTTTTATAGACAGAGAAATTTACGGAAATACAGCAAAGCTAGTGACCTTCACACTTTCGCACATGAAAACAAATGAGCTCTTAAGGTCATTATTTCTCTTGACAGGAAAATCACTTCAAAGGCGTTTACCTGTTTCTGAGTATAATGTAACAATTGTGAGTTTGACAGGGTAGTCATAGATGTACTTTTAAATGAATTTACAGAGAAGAACAACTTTATTTGTCTTGCTGTGTATATACTGTCTATATTTTAAAAAGCAACTAGTATACAAACATTCTAGTATTGTAATATCATCAGTATAATTCAAATAATCTTTTTGGGTGGGGTACTTTTTTATTTATTTAAAGTGCTGACCCAGAAAATGTTGTTAGTTTTAACACTTGGGTGAATCTTTATTGTTAAAATTGCCCAGGATGTAAAAGGTGCCATATAAATAAGTCAAGATATAGAACCAAAGTGTCTGCTGAATGGAGAAAAGGGAGGCAGCTTGTTTCATAGGGTAAGACAGTTAGCTGAGCCTTAGTTATGGTAGTTTCTCTTATTCTCTGGATTTTTGCATATTTTCTTGGTTGATATGCTAATAATTGTTTTGATTGATAACCTTGCTTTATCACATTTATGTGTCCTGATGTCGCACATTTCATTTTTCTATCTTGCCAAAACTGGAAAATAGATGAAGAGGGTAAGGAGTGGAGGACTACCATGTTTTGGGATTTCAGGAGGAAGAAGAGTATTGTGGAAATGACTGGCTTCACAGGCATGAGAAGACTAGACCTCAACTTTGATCCTTTTTACTTCCATATATATTCACAGATGTAAACTGAAAAAGTTGGGAGATGGCTGTCCCATGTTAGTACAGCATGCCTGTTGGTGGGAGTGGTAATCGTTTGAGTACATGGTAATTTAACTGTTTTGGTTGGGGCCTACTCTTAGTTCGTTGCTTTTATTTTGTATATGTTAGGCTTTCAGTACCCTTGGTATATAGGGCTTGTCATATGGATTTGTAAAAATAAAATCATCTTGTGCTAATAACCACTGAATCTTTTTACTACCACATACTTCCTTCCTATATTTTAATATAAATTATATCACATCATCAGTTATACCTTCCAGAATTGTGAATGCTTGCATGTGGGATGCTTTTATGTAAAGGATAGAATTTGAAGATACCTCTGTGGTGGGGAAACCTCTGTCTTTCTCTCTTTCTCTTTATGTCTGTCTCTCTCTCTGTACTTCTGTCTCATATGTAAAATGTGATTTGTCACATTCTTTCTAGATATTATGAACCATGTGAATTTAGGTACAGTATTCTTCCTCAGCTCCCTTTTTTTGAAGAACATAAAAATTTATCATCCTCTGTTATATAAATTAACTTTTACTTTAGTCACATGAAATCGTTGTGAGAATTTTTTCTTGCTCAGTTGATGTTAACCTTGGTGGTTTAGATATTAGGACAAGAAGTACTTCACTTTCAGTGGAAAATGTGTTACGTAACTTTATATCTTTCTTCAATTCTTGACTATTGCTGACGTGTGATACACTTCAGTTGCTTTCATCTCTTTTGGGCTGGTGGGGAGGATTGTAATATTAACCTTCTTCGAGAATTAGTGAAGAGAAGAGAAAATTTCAAAAGAAATTAGTGAAAGGGAAGAAAATTTTCTGTGGCTTGACGATATATTTTTATTTTTATACTGAAGCAGAAGAACAAGTGTTCTTGTTTGTCCTGAAGGGATTGTTCTCCCAAATTTTTTATTATTAGATAATTACCTGAGCCTTTTTGTTCCTAACAACAAGCTGTGGCCTTAATTCTAGGTGATGGTGCTTGAATGAACTTTTTACATTTTGTTCCTGAGACCTGCCCAACGTTTTGTTTTTCCTGGCGTGGAGAAGGGAGATTGTCTCGGAGAACAACATTCTCCAAGGAGTGTGACTGCAGACTCCCTTAGTGCTGTAATCAGTCTGTACCTCCTCCTCTTAAAAACTGGTTCCACAGCTGCAGATCTTATTTATTTTGTTGAAGGAATTCTTGTTTGTTTTGTTCTAAACTAATTTTAATAGAAAAGAAATGAGACATACGAGTGTATGGGTAGGATTTGTAAGAAGTTGCAGATTCCTAAGTAAAGGTCTGGTCTGCTGACCAATGACTGATTGTTAAGTGAAAAATATTTTAATTTATTAGAGGTGGAGTAAAAGGAAAGAATGAAAGATGAGATGATAATAGGAAGATGATTGCTGGCATAATTTGTCTTGTGGAACTAGATAGAGGAGTATCCAGGGAAATTATGGAAAATATCCCAGGATGTAAAATACCATTAGAATATATACCATTACACAGAAGAATTTCTTGTGACAAAGCTACTTTTTGTAGCCGAGCCATTAGCTTTAGGGAGTACTTAATTTATAAATTCTCTGGGAGTTTGGAGATAAGACCTATGTTTAACAACTTACATATTTTTCTGGGGATACCATAAGCAAAACCTTTGGAAGTCTTTAGAAAGATCTGGGAAGGTTTAGAATGTCCTGGTTATCACTTTGATGGGAACTTCACAGATATGGAGCAGTAGCAGTTAAAAGTATTTGAGTAGGTTGGCAAGGCATTGAATGTCAGTCTGAGTACTTTGGAGTTGGTGAGGAGGCCTGGAACAATCATTGCAAGTTTTTCAGTGAAAGGTTTTGGGAGTCTTATATTGATACCTGTTTTTTGATTCACTTCGTTATTTGTTGAATACCCACCAGCTTGTTCCTCACTTCTCAGCCACAATCACTTATAGTTACTCCTTTGCGTGTACCCTCAAATTTCTTGACTCTTCCTCTGTTGTACACGTCTGGTTACGTCCAACTCTCTTGTGCATGTAGATGGCAAATGTGAATTGCAACATTATTGAATGGTCTCGCTTTAAATTGTGGCCACTGAGCGCAAGTGGGCCTTCCATCCTGCCTGAAATCGTATCACGTTTCCTTAATCTATTCATTTTCCCACTGTGCTGGCAGTAATTTATCCTCTTTCAAACCACTATCTTCTCATTCTTCACTCCACATTGTCCGCTAATGACCTTGCTTCCTATTTTATTGAGAAAATAAACAACCAGAAGAGATCTTCTGTACAGTCCCCCCATCTTATCAATTAACTTATTTCTGTTGAGTCCTATATATTCTGCTTTCTCTGCTCTTGTTGTAAATGAACTGTCCATGCTCCTATTTAAGGCCCACTTCTGGTTGTCTCCTAGATCTTGACTCGGCTACTCAAGAACGTGATTTAAGCGTTGCTCCCTTCTCTATTTTTTTTTTTTTGAGGAAGATTAGCCCTGAGCTAACTGCTGCCAATCCTCCTCTTTTTGCTGAGGGAGACTGGCCCTGAGCCAACATCCATGCCCATCTTCCTCTATTTTATATATGGGACACCTACCACAGCATGACGTGCCAAGTGGTGCCGTGTCCCCACCTGGGATCCTAACCGGTGAACCCCAGGTCACCGAAGCAGAACGTGCTAACTTAACTGGTGCGCCACCGGGCCAGCCTCTCTCTCTTTTTTTTGTTTTTTTTAAGATTGGCGCCTGAGCTAGCAACTGTTGCCAATCTTCTATTTTCTTCTTCTTCTCCCCAAAGCCCCCCAGTACATAGTTGTATATTCTAGTTGTGAGTGCCTCTGGCTGTGCTATGTGGGACATCGCCTCAGCACGGCCTAATGAGCAGTGCCATGTCTGCACCTGGGATCTGAACCGGCAAAAACCCCAGGCCGCTGAAGCAGAGCGCACAAACTTAACCATTCGGCTGCAGGGCCGGCCCCTCTCCCCTCTCGTTCTGTAGTGTCAGTTTTCACTCTCTACTGGAGTATTCTCGTCAGCACAGAAATAGCCTGTGATATCTCACATCATTAAAAAAAGAAACCCTCCCTGAACTCACCTCCTCTTTTGGCTATTCCTCCATTTCTTTGTTCCACTGATAGCAAAACTCCCTGCCCTGAAAGAATTTTCTATGTTCTCTGTCTCCTCTTTTTCTCTTCTCATTCTGTCTTCAACCCGTTCTAATCAGACATTGTCTCTGCCGTCTAAGCTATTATGTATGATTGTGTGGGTTGTGACTGCACAGGAGTGCCACTTTCAGGAGGACAGTGATCACATATTTATAACAGTGGTTTTCCAGCAGATGGCATTAAATTTCTTGTTTAAATAAAGTCAGTGTATTATGTCAGTTTTGCAGGAGATGAAGGTAAAGTGTCATCAGGAGGGGCACTGCTTAAATCCATACAAAAGCTCTGCATGAACTACTAGCATTATGTTACTGCTCTGCCAATATAGCTTTTGTAGGTTTATAAATGACCTCCACATTTCTAATCCCACGGTCATGCTGCAGTCAAGTTATTAGCATTCAAAACAGTTGCTCACTTCTTAGTGAAAAGATGCTTTCTTCACTTAGCTTAGGGACACTACTCTTTTTTGTTGTCTTCTAACCTCACTAGCCATCATTTTTAGTTTCCTGTTAGTTTCTCCTTATCTCCCTAACCCCCTAAACTTTATCTTAGCACCTTTTTTGTAACAACTCATTTCCTTGGTAATCTCATCTAGTGTTATGGTTTTAAATGCCATCCGTACACTGGCAGATTCCCACTTTATATATCATCAGCCTGGACCTCTTTGTTTCCAGACTTACATGTCCAACTGCCTATATAATATCTCTACTTAGATATCTAATACAGGCATCTGAAGTTTTAAAAACTTTTGATTTTGAAATAGTTTTAGGCTTACAGAACAGTTGCAAAGACAGTGCAGAGTTCCCACACTCGCCCTCCTTAGCTTCCCCCACTGTTAACATCCTACATAACCATGGTATAATTATCACAACAAGAAATTAATATTGGTACAATACCACTAATTAGACTGTGGACCTCATTCAGGTTTCCCAGTCTTTCCACAAATGTTCCAGAATCTGATCCAAGATCTATTTTACTTTAGTCCACTTCCATCTGTGACACTGAGGCATTCCATTTCTTTGGCAACCTTTTGAAGAGTACTGGTTAGATACCTTGTAGGATGTCCCTCAATTTGGGTGGATGTGATGTTTTCCTATGATTGGATTGAGGCCATGGATTTTGGAGGAAAATACCACAGAGGTGATATTGGGCCATCTTTAATATGTTTAAAATTGAGCTCCTGATTTTTCTTCTCTCTGCAGTTTTTGCTAGCTCAGTAATGGGCAGTTCTGTTTTTCCTGTCTGTAGGCAGTTTGGCTCAGGCTCCACTTCAGACCTACTGAGTCAGAAACTCCAGAGGTGAGACCCAACAGTCTGTTTAACGTGCCCTCCTGGAGACTCTGACGCACACTAAGGTTTGAGAAACGCTGGCTTGGAGCTTAGCGCCTAATGATCACCTTGACCTCACTTTGTCTTTACTCGTTAGTCAGTAAATTCTTAAGTTCTTTCTTCAAAATATATCTGGAATCCGCCACTATCTCTCCTGCTCCCACTGTGTTTCAATTTGCTATGGTTTCTTTCCTTTTACCTGGTCTCCCAGCCATGCCCTCAATCCTCTACTGTCTCCTCATCTCCTTGGCAGCCATGGTGATTATAAGTCAGATCACATCATTTCTTCTTACACCTTCCAGAGATCCTCATCTCACGCAAACTAAAATTCAAAATCCTCGTGTTGACAAAAACATGATTTTTCTGACTCCTTTTCTTCTGCTAATCTTGACCTTGTTTACTGGCTTCCAAAGACTTGCTCTAACGTTCTAAGTGTGTTCCCTCTTAGGATCTTTGTACTTTTACTTTGGCCTAGATATCCCTCATTTGAATCTCTTATGGTTCCTTCTGATGCCTCCAGGTTTCTTAACAGGGAAGTCTTTCCTGACCTCCCTGTGGAGTAATCACAGGCCCCCAGCCTCCTCTGCATCCCTACTCTTCTTACGCTGCTTTATTTTTTCTCGCCTCACTTCACCTTACGACTCTTATGTTAACTTGTTTGTCATCTCTGTATTCTTCAATAGAACCTAAGCTTCGTCAAGGGAGAGTGTTTATTTTGTTTACTCCTCTATAC